GTGCTGCTCGGGCCCGCCATGCCGGGCGCGCTGCCGGGGCCTGTGCCCGGGACCCCCGCGGGGCTGGCGAAGGGCGCGGCCGCGGCGACCCCCAGCCTGCCTCGGACGCCGGCGGCCACCACCGGCGCTATTCGGGCTACGCTGACACCCACCGTGCTGGCCCCGCGCCTGCCGCAGCCGCCGCAGAACCCGACCAACATCCAGAACTTCCAGCTGCCCCCAGGTGAGTGGCAGCGCGCGGCGGGAGGCGAGGGCGGGTGCACCAGGCTGCCCTGGCGTTCCAGGAAGTTCTGGGCTGCATTCTGGGGACGTGCCCTGGTCCGGTGGCCCGCGAGGCCGAGGGGCGGCCTCTGCCCAGGTGACTTGCCAGTTTTGAGTGCTTCCCAATCCTGGAGCTTCCAGAGCCTTCGGGGAACTCTGCTGTCCCGTTAGGGTGCTGTGGGCTACCACTGTATAGCTGAGGGCCCCTTCTCTCTCTTCCTTCAGGTGAGGTCAAGAGAGGGTGATCCAACTACTTACGGGCAGGCTAATGAAGTCTGTGTGGAAGGCATGGGCTTCCCCGTTGCCAGGGAAGCCGATTGGGGACTCTATGCAGGGGTTTAGTGGCCATCGGTGCCTGAAAGGGGATCCTGGGTGTTTTTATTGTTGTCATCTCTGGAGGTCAGCAGGACACTTAGTGCGTAGGGGTCTGCGGATGCAGGAGAGCATAGTGATGTGGATGCTGAGACTCAGAAGCTGCCTCAGCGCCTGCAGATTCCACACATGCTCTGACTCGAATTCCTCAGGGCCCCTTGGGTTTGATGAGTGGCTCCTTACCCTGCTTTTAGACTGCTTTTGTTTGAGAGTCTCTGCAGGAGTGTTCCCACTGAACCCTGGGCCGGAGCGAGCCCTGAGCGCTCCTCCCGTATTACACAGTGACATGTGCAATCGGTAAGTAGCAGCGCCGCCCGCCGCGGTGGCAGTAGTAGAGAATTAGAAAACGTGCTGCTACTGTGTCCTCTCCTGTTTTCTGAAAAGTGGTTTGGGTCACGTTGAAAGAGCTACAGCATCTTTAGAATTGAGTTTTGCTGTGGAAGTCAGTGAGGATCGGGAAGGCTCATCAAAGGTCCAGAGATACCTGCCCTATCTATTCGGATATAGGACCCAGAAGTGTTTATGAGGTTGCAGGGGCTGCCATGCTCTGAGGAGGCTCTGGGTGTGACATAAGGCCTAGGAGCTGCAGATGTCTGTTGCCACACATCTGGGGCTTGCTGAGAAGTGTGCAGGGTGTGTGTGTGTGTGTGTGTGTGTGTGCGCGCACGCGCGCGCGCGTGCGTGTGCGTGTGTGAGTGATTGAAAGGTCTTGTTCATTATCTTCATTCTGACCTTTGAGTGGGAAGCATGACTGATGTTTCTAGTTTTTAGGATGCATTTTGTGCTTGTAGTCTGTTATTCGAAATGCCACAGTACTTCAGTACTGCTTTCCCCAAGGCAAGGATGTGCCCACGTTGTCCTTTTATCAGGAAAGCTGGCCTAGTCAGGTGCCCATGGCATCCTTCCATAGCAGTCTTGGCTTACCCTGGTTCCTTTGCTTTTGAGTGCTGTACAAGTGAAGTCCATCTCCCTGGGAGAAGGACGATGTCATTTGAAAAGGACATTGGCTGCTGTCTCGATCACTGCTGCCTCCTTTTCCAGTGTTTGAGCAGAAGATAACTCCTTGGGGAAAAATGTAAACATGTCCATTATTTGCACTTCTCTGCATCTGCATCAGCCCCCATGCTTGTGTTGGAGTGTAGGGCAGAGTCTGTTGATGTCTAGGTGGCAGACACCCAGAGCTCTGCTTCAAAGTAGCCACATGCTTTCTAAAAAAGAGAAGGCTCATACCCATCTTCTGTACCCTCTGGCTTCTGTTGCTGTTTTGATAAGGAGTGCTGATTGATTACCTTACTTTAAAAACACTCTAAGCTAAGCTAATGTTTGATGCTTAAAACTACTACCACCAATGCTAGAAAACCAACATCTTTTAAACAAGACAGGAAGGCATAGTCAGAGGATGCAGATATTCTAGTTTTGTCCTGTAACTGAGTAATCAGAACTTTTTCTAACTGGTGTTCCTCCATTGATATCTTTAATAATAAAATATATTCAAAAAGGTGAAAAATAGGTTCTAATAAAACTTTGTTTAACCGGTAGCAGCCTTTGCACAGTAAGGTGGAGAGAGATAGGGGAGGCAGGTTTCAAGGCTACACATAGGTGTCAAGTGGAACAGCATACACACCATTGGCAGTTGAGTGAGAGGAGTGTGAAAGGGCCTGAGTCCCTCCCAGTGCCCTCATGATAGAGGTCATGCTGGGGGAGGGGAGGGACACAGGTTTGACCCTGAGGTCTTTGTGATCAAGTTTCATCTTCACAGTTCACCAGGAACTTCTAATAAGCATGTTGAACTTTTTTTTTTTTTTTTTTTTGTTCTTTGTTTTATCTTCCCTGTCAGGACAAGTTTGTAAAGGGACAGGGATGTTACTGTGGTTGTGGTTTGCTGCTGGTTTGCTGGTGCCAAAGTCTAAGTTTGAGCCTCAGTGAGAGCTTTAGAGAGCTCTGGAGAGCACTGGATGGCAGGTGCACATGTCAGGAGGAGATAGAGGCAAGGCACAGTGTGACTACAGTGTCACACTACAGGGGCAGGTGAGAGGGAGGACCTCAGAATTAGTGTGTGCTTTGGTTGCTTTAAAAGATCTGGGTGGAGGATGCTGTCCTGCAGGCTGTTTTTCTGACTTGGCAAATTAGCATTTTTGTTTGTATGTGCTCTTTCTACTTTCTTTTTTTTTTTTTTGTTTTTTTTTTTTTTGTTGTTTTTCGAGACAGGGTTTCTCTGTATAGCCCGGGCTGTCCTGGAACTCACTCTGTAGACCAGGCTGGCCTCGAACTCAGAAATCCGCCTGCCTCTGCCTCCCGAGTGCTGGGATTAAAGGCGTGCGCCACCACCGCCCGGCCTCTTTCTACTTTCATATTGAGTTTACTCTCATGTTGCTCTAGAACTTGGCTAATTGTAGGTTCTCTGTCTAGGAGAAAACATTCCTTCTTGGCCTGGATGCTGTGGCTCTGGTGTGAGCACAGGTGTCAGGTGCTGGTTCCCACATGTGGTAGGTTGTGGCTTAGTGGCTTACTACATGTGGGTCTGCCTGAGTTGTTGGGTAGATTCTCAGGTTTAGAATCTCAGGCAGCTCAGGGTGGAGAGATGCCTGTGGACTCTCTGGGCTGGTGTTCTGGAGGCCAACTTCAGCAGCAGCAACCAAAAGGAATATTCTTGAAACTTCAGCTTTTCTTACTTGAGGTCACAGTTGCTGTTTGCCTGGGAAAAATACATTGCTTATGGAGCCTCAGTTTGTCTGACTGTAACATGACTGACTGCTTTGTGAATAGGGAATTCTGTCCGGATGAGACATGGATAGACACAGCTGCACTTTATTCCTAGTTCCCTGATCCTTTCCCTGCTTTAAGGGTGGTGTTGCTGTAGAAGTAACAGTGTTGTTTTTTTGTTTTTGTTTTTTTTTTTTGAGACAGGGTTTCTCTGTGTAGCCCTGGCTGTCCTGGAACTCACTCGGTAGACCAGGCTGGCCTCGAACTCAGAAATCTGCCTGCCTCTGCCTCCCAAGTGCTGGGATTAAAGGCGTGCGCCACCACCGCCCGGCTGTGTAACAGTGTTTTTAAGGTTAGTTTTATTCCAGTGAAAATTCTTACCCAGTGGACAAGAAGTTTGGGGCAGGTTGTCTTGATCCGAGTGGAAAGAACAGTGGACCTTGCTGGGGTGGTTACCACCCACAGAGCCACATGCTACCTGTTTGAGAACCTCACCAGGGCCTGGCTTTAGGCCAAAGGTTGTAACCTAGTGTGCTGCTGGATGAGTAGGAGGGAGAAGGGAAGGAGGAGGAAGAGGAGGAAGAGGAAAAACATTTTGGTAACCATAACGGGCAGTGGTGCACTTTGGAAGACTGAGGGTGGGTCTCCTTCCCTGTCAGAGTCACAGCTGGCCTGTCATTGTCATCTTTGGGAAGTGTGGTAATGGGATGATGACTGGCGTTTGCAGCTGTTTTTGGAGCTGTTCAGCATTGTGTTTTGGTAGTAGTAGAGGGGCCTGTGAGCATTTCAGGATGGTGGTCTCATGCACACTTCATGCCGTGTGTGGTTTTTGTGAGGCAAGGTCTCTCGTTAGATCGTCTGGGACTCTCATTCTGTAGCCCATTCAGGCCTTGCTTGAGGTCCTCAGTTCCAACTTCCTGGGTGCTAGTGTATGCCGTCATAGTTGGCTTATTGGTCTCCACATATATGCTCTGCACTTCTGAGCAGATCCCTGTATACCAGGGCTGCTGGGAAGAGCACCCCCTGGTGTGAATAGGAGTGAGTGAAGGAGGGAAGACAGGCTTCTGGGAAACATCTTCACAGTTGCCTCAGAGATGCCACTGGGTCAGAACCATGCCTACCTCACTCAGCCCCCGCCCTCACTGAAGTGGCTTGGTGAGGGTGGTACAGTCAGGGTGTTTAAGATGCTTTCAAAGTCTGCCTCTGTGTAAATGTGCACTTTCTTCCACTTACAATATAAATTTGGAAACAGCTTTTATAAATAGCAGGTTATATCTGAGCTGATCAAATCATAATAGCTGGACTTTTTTTTTTTTTGCTGCAAATTTTGAAGTAAAGATGTAAAGGTCTATAGAAACTGCCTAAGGTCTGAAGCAGTTTGTGGAATTTGAGGAAGCAACTTTGCTTTTCTCCATGAGCCTCTGCTTGCCTGGTCTGGGATGCAGCTGTTATTCAGGGCTGTTGTTGGCAGTCTTTTAGTCAGGCCTTGGCTAGCAATAAAACTGCTAGATTAAGTTAGGAAGATTGGGGGGGGGGGAGTGTAGAAAGTCTAGGTGCTGTGCAGCTTTGTGCCTGTACTGGGGCCAGGGTTACCTGGGTGTTGGTTTCAGTGCAGTTGGGCCAGTTCTCTCAGAGCATCTTGCTTGGCAGTGCTGTTCCGCAAGGCAGATCAGGCACTGCAAGGTTGTGTCTAGGAATTAGAAGTTTTATATTTTATGGTAGGGCTGTGAAAGTTTTGGTTTTTACATTCTTTTGAATATTTGTACCAAAAAAATAAAAACCTGAAAATCTTTAAGAGCTAAGATTGCCCTCAGTTAGGATCCACCTTTGCCCTGTTCTTTTGTTACCTGCCTGTCCAAGCACTTTGTTGCTGCTATATGGGGGCCA